TACCCATTTAACTACTGAACCATTGAAATACTGTACCCATTGAACTTCTGTATCCATTGAATTACTGAACCATTGAACTACTGTATCCATTGAACTATCGTACCATTGATTTACTGTACCATTAAACTACTGTTCTATTGATCGACTGTACCTTTGAACTACTGAACCACTAGACTGTTGTACCCATTGGTCTACTGTACCATTGATCTATTGTACCATTGATAAACTGTACCATTGCTCTACTGTACCATTTGGCTACAGTACCCATTTATATACTGTACCCGTTGAACTATCGTACCATTGATTTACTGTACCATTAAACTACTGTTCTATTGATCGACTGTACCATTGAACTACTGATTATGTTAACCTCTATCTTTTGCACTCAATGATCCCCTGTACCTAATGTACATACAGTACTCATATCGACACACTGTACCCTTAGATTATGTTAACCTCTTTCTTTTGCACTCAATGATCTCCTGTTCCCAATGTACCTACTGTACTCATATTGACACACTGTACCATTAGATAATGTTAACCTCTATCTTTTGCACTCAATGATCTACTGTACCCAATGTACATACAGTACTCATACTGACACACTGTACCATTAGATCATGTTAACCTCTATCTTTTGCACTCAATGATCCCCTGTACCCAATGTACATACTGTACTCATATTGACACACTATACCATTAGATCATGTTAACCTCTATCTTTTGCGCTCAATGATCTACTGTACCCAATGTACATACTGTACTCATACTGACACAGTGTACCCTTAGATTATGTTAACCTCTATCTTTTGCACTCAATGATCTCCTGTACCCAATGTACCTACTGTACTCATACTGACACACTGTACCATTAGATCATGTTAACCTCTACCTTTTGCACTCAATGATCCCCTGTACCCAATGCACATGCTATACTCATATTGACACACTGTACCCTTAGATAATGTTAACCTCTATCTTTTGCACTCAATGATCTCCTGTACCCAATGTACATACTATACTCATATTGACACACTGTACCCTTAGATTATGTTAACCTCTATCTTTTGCACTCAATGATCTCCTGTTCCCAATGTACCTACTGTACTCATATTGACACACTGTTCCCTTAGATAATGTTAACCTCTATCTTTTTGCACTCAATGATCTACTGTACCCAATGTACATACTGTACTCATATTGACACACTGTACCCTTAGATAATGTTAACCTCTATCTTTTTGCACTCAATGATCTCCTGTACCCAATGTACCTACTGTACTCATACTGACACACTGTACCATTATATCATGTTAACCTCTATCTTTTGCACTCAATGATCTCCTGTACCCAATGTACTTACTGTACTCATATTGACACACTGTACCCTTAGATTATGTTAACCTCTATCTTTTGCGCTCAATGATCTACTGTACCCTATGTACCTACTGTACTCATATTGACACACTGTACCCTTAGATTATGTTAACCTCTATCTTTTGCGCTCAATGATCCCCTGTACCCAATGTACATACTGTACTCATATTGACACACTGTACCCTTAGATTATGTTAACCTCTATCTTTTGCACTCAATGATCTCCTGTACCTGATTTTGTGTTTATAACTACCGTTTATTTCTACAGCTTGCTTTACTTCCGCCGTCGTTCTTGTCACTCCAAGCGTCAATCTATATTTTTCTCTAACATCTATGTGTCCCTTGAGTGAGACAACGCTATTCAATTTAGACTCACCCTGTGATTTCCACTAAGATAAGTAATTGTTGCTTAATCCTGACAAGAACGTGCATTAAAACCGAGTGAGTCCAAAGTGTTCAATACCTTGTCCGCTGACGTTCTGAAATTCAATTGTATACGTAAAGTAATTTGATTTTTACTTTGATCCAGAGAAAAATATTTACTGCAAGGGACAACCTTCACGGAAATAGATTAACTTCTATTTTCTTACCATAGCGATAACGGTTCAGGTACATGTTGCGAATAAAGAAAATATAACCAATGGAATCTACTTCTTAAAATTATTGCAATCCAAAGTGGTTCAGATTCAACCACTTTAGGAACCACCTACATGATACAAAGTTGTATCAGTTAAAAATGTCATCGGTATTTTGTTGGAATCAACATATATGAAATTGATTTTACCGACAATTCATGGCGGACATTTTATTTTACCGAGTGCTGGCCTGAGTACCATACACAAGATAAACGGATTGGCACGAACTGAGAACCGAAAACAGGTTATACATATTGGCGCGAACAGAATACCGAAAACAGGTTATAGGTATTGGCGCGAACTGAGTACCGTGAACAGATTATACGGATTGGCGCGAACTGAGTACCGTAAACAGATTATAGGTATTGGCGCGAACTGAGTACCGTAAACAGATTATAGGTATTGGCGCGAACTGAGTACCGTAAACAGATTATAGGTATTGGCGCGAACTGAGTACCGTAAACAGATTATAGGTATTGGCGCGAACTGAGTACCGTAAACAGATTATAGGTATTGGCGCGAACTGAGTACCGTAAACAGATTATAGGTATTGGCGCGAACTGAGTACCGTAAACAGATTATAGGTATTGGCGCGAACTGACGTAGCGCTTAGTCCAATGCTGTTCACGATGAAAATCGTATTCAAGCAGTGCATGCACTCCGTCAAAAGATTTTAGAAGAATAAAAGTATGATCTGAAATCGAGCGCCAAACCCTTTTGTCTATTACCTTTTGTTCTAGGATTATGATTTATAAATACCGATCTAGTCTTAGCTTTATCTGTTGCTTCTGAACCCGTCACGTCAATTTATCGCGCAGTTGAGATAAATGCATTGCGTTATTTATCAGCACTTCTGAAGTCCTCTTCGAAATCAAACTAATTTCATCAAATTTAATGAACTTTGGGAGGAATGAGATAAACTTTTGATAAATTGATATCATACTATTTACCTAAGCATATCAAATACCATGTTTTGTACTAATTGTAGTAAAACAAACACCAAAAATCACAGTTATTTTGTCTACGCCACCAGGTCTTGTACCACAAATGGTAATATTACGCCTTTGATATTATAGTTGTGACGGTGTGTTAGTTGTTTCGCTAATTTTGATTCGTATACTGATCACCTATTCTGTAAGATTATGTTTTCAAGTGCATTCCGAAGTTTGTATCTACCGAGCCTCGTTATGATGTAATAAACAGGAGAAAGACTGTTTCACTAATACGTGTCTACACCAAGCTAACGATATATCAACAGGTTGTTATTACACTCCGTGATATCCAGATCATACCATTATATCAGTACTACATATATACTTGTCTGACGCGTTCAAATGTAATTTTACAAAAAAAAAAGTATAATATCAGGTATGATAATATGAAAGATATGATGTGTTGCCTTTATCATAACGTAGGTCAATTATATTGTCCTCTATAAACACATATAAACCAGCCACCAATATTCATATGTCAGCAGGTTGTAAAGCTCAATACATGAAAATATATAATTTTACATATTTTGTATATTGATTTCATATTAGTTAATTCTTTTCTCGTGTGTATTTAACTAATGGAAAACTTTTTCATATCGCCTGTGGTGTACATGTATCTTGATAGTTTGTTCTGGCATTAATTTCATATATAATGAAAACGAATGTAAGATCCTTTTTATCACATAATTTTAGATTTGTGGCATTTATTCGTGTAAAACGATAATTTTCTTGCAAACTTAAAATGTAAAAATACGCCATTTTGTTTCCAGTAATAAGTCTGTGACATCATGTACTTGTCCTAGGGGTGACATCACAATCGAAACAATTGAAACTTACAATCACAGGGCTGATAGGTCATATTACATGGGTTAATGCGCAGAAAAATATGACATATATTCAATGGATAACACAGTTCATTACAATGTATGTGATATAAAGCAATATTTGTCAAACAAAATATATTGTTTTTGTCCAATCAGAAGAGGTGTTACATACAGTGTGTGTAGTAAATGAGCCAAATAACAGTTATGTTCCAAACAGACTATTTGTAACGTAGGATGGGCGGTGAGTAGTTATGATGGAAATGACAACATTTCAAGCACACACTTACCGTTTATTTACAACATCAACCAAACTCACACACATCGTATTTCACACAATAAATAGACCCTGTACTACAAACATGAGATGGAATAAGACAGAATTCCGCATCGAGTAAAAGGCCTACACGGAACAGAACAATTGTGAAAATCAAAACCAAAACCCACTTCTAAACTAACTCAGAGAGTCTTCTGAACAAATTAGATGAACTGAAAGCAAGGATTAAAGACAAAAAGAAATGGTATAGACGTGTTAGGAATTACCGAGAATAACCCCAAGAACTAAAGATGTTCACAAAGTAAAGCTAACTCAACATCCCTGGGTATGTGAAAATTACCCCACCAGGCATCGGGGAGTTGGTATCTTTATCAAAGAGAGTCTTAACCCGTTTTAAGTAGCTATGGAAAATGATTTAAAAGATAATATCTGGATAAAAATCAACACCCCAGAAATGGGCCATGTATTAATCGGATGTATATATAGGAGCCAAAACTCTAAAAAGAATAACAACGACAATCTGTGCAAGCTAATTGATAGTTTCATCAGTCAGATTTTATATTCACATTTATTAATATTTGAAGACTTCAATCGTCATCAAAGGGAGATCAACAGAACTTGTTAAAGATATCTACTTATATCAACATTTTAATGAGTGTACCCGCCTTAGAAATGGAAACGAATAAAAACTATTGGACTTAATCCCGAGCAATGAAACAGAGATGATCAGTGATATAGAATACGAATGTCCTTTTGGGAACAGCCAGCACAGCCAGCACAGGAAATACATAAGGAACTACAGGAAATCAAATGGAACACACTCTCAGAACAGGACATTGTAGGGGCATATAGTTCCGTCCGGCAGATAGCCACTTACCAAAAAAAAAACATCCATCGATTGGCAACAAGAACAAGGACAGTATAGCTTTAAATCAAGATGTCACCAAGTGTGAAAAACCAGCAGGAAACATAGAAATTGGACTCAATAAATGGGGAAATGTCACAAGAAAATAAAAGATGTATGCAAGATGCAGGAACCAAGCCATATGGTAATAATTTAAGTCTGTTGAAAACAAGCATTTCTATTGGTTTAATTTTCTATGTTATCAGCTACTTTCGGTCCGGCGTGTACTCTTTTCATCAACCGTTTCGGGGTTCATTCAGAGTACACCCCTTTTTATGTTATGGCTCATTAACGTAAAAAAGTCATTCAAGTTAATGCTTGAATAAAAGAAAACAAAAAAAGATAACGAAAAAGAAATTTAAGTGAATGCTAAACACCAACCTAAATGCTTGAGGAATTATGTAAATGCGAAAGTCAGAACAGGAATTTCAGATATAAAAGCTCTGAATAGGGACTTAACAAATTCGCTAACAGCGATACAGATAAAGTAGAGGTACTGACTAACTTTTTCAACAGTGCCTTTTCTAAAGAACCAATAGGAGAGCTATCAAGGTTTGAAGCTATAACCATCCGCCAACGATTCCATGACGCACCCCATAACCAAGATACTATTAGAAAACTTCTCATAAAATGTTATGGAAATAAATCATCATATCCTTATGAAATCAACCCAAACGTATTCAAGAAAAAACGTTTTAAGTAAACCCATGTCAATAATATTTCAGAAATCTTTGGAGGAAAGAAAACTACCTCAAACATAGAGGGATGCAAACATTACTGACATTACTGCCACCTACGGAAATGGGCCTAAATCTTACCCAGGGAATTACCGCCATGTGAGCCTCAAAAGGTGTCATGGTAAACACCATGGAGAATTATCCGTAATTCTATTGTGCAGCATGTGCAAATGTATTTAGCAATACACACTTTGGATTTCTGCCTTGAAGTTCAACAACACTCCAGATGCTAACAGTTTTAGATGACTTGACCCGCTTGTTAGATACAGGGAGGATAACTCCATGTCATTTCAAACTTTATGAAAGTCTTTCATAAGGTACCTTACCGCTGCCTTTAAGAAAGCTATATAAATATGGAGTCGGCCATAAGACAATAAAATAAAAAGAAGACTTCCTGAATAATAGACATCAAAAGGTGTTGGTAATTGGTCCTCATTAAGGTCTCATGGCGTCCTCAGTGGAATTCTTCATAGAGTGTGTGCTCATCTGGCGCTGTATATAAATTATATGCCAGAGAACATATTATCTCCCTACCCACGTTTCGCAGATGATACCAAACTATACCGGATAATTAGTAACAGAGATGATATAAAATTCTACAATCAGATTTACATCAACTTCAAAACTGGACAGACAACTGGTTATCGACAATCCTAGATAACAGAAGTTATTATCTCACGGGCTAGAACGGCTAGAAAACTACATCAAAAAGCATTACCAGTGAAAAACATTGAGGTGCAACGGTGGATGATACGCTAGACTGTAGAACACAGATGCAGAACTTTAATATAAAAACCAAGTCGGTACGGGTATTATAAAAAGTTTATTGAGATATGAAGACAACTTCATGTTCAAAAGTGTGTACAGGACATTTGGTAAGATCACATTTAAAACATACAACTACTAGAGAATGTTCAGCGAAGAGCTACTAAACTATTAGATAAAATAGTCACTTCCAATCTATATGCTTTGATATAAATGACAAAAAAAAAAAATCCATCATGGAGTTAAAGACTCATTCACATTTAGAGTGGCAGATGTGTGGAACAATCTACCTGTACATGTCATCAATGTTCAAACAATCAGGGATTTTGAAATTGTTAAAGCAACAATATATTACACGACGTGAAACATCACTAATAAACACGGCAATCAGGAGATTATCACAAATGTTCACACAGGACACCATGTTGGTGTATAGTATCAATATATTTATACTACCACACTGCTGGTAATAGGAAATAGAACTTTCCCTACAGCAAAGTCTCGGACAAGAAACGCCGTTCACTGTGTCGGCTGATGGACATGGTTGTGCTACCCTGTCATTATCAGCAATGGGCGTACTCAAATAATGTAAAAAAAAAAATAATGAAATTTTGAAGGACACAAATCGTAAATTGGAAATGTGTTTGAATTTAAACATTATTTCAGTAATCTAATGACATGTTTTCTATAAAAAGAGATGCATAAATTACACTCATGTGGTATATATACATATGTTATGTAGCTGAATCAGGGTATCCAGCGCCTGGGCTGACTGAGTCGAGGTGAAGCAGGGTATCCAGCGCCGGGGCTGTCTGAGTCGAGGTGAAGCCTTGTATCCAGTGCCTGAGCTGTATGAGTCGAGGTGAAGCAGGGTATCCAATACCTTGGCTGTCTGAGTAGAGGTGAAGCAGGGTATCCAGCGCCTGGACTGTCTGAGTCGAGGTAAAGCAGGGTATCCAATGCCTTGGCTGTCTGAGTAGAGGTGAAGCAGGGTATCCAGTGCCTGGGCTGTCTGAGTAGAGGTGAAGCAGGGTATCCAGTGCCTTGGCTTTCTGAGCTTGTCGAGGTAAAGCAGGGTATCCAGTGCCTGGGCTGTCTGAGTCGAGGTGAAGCAGGGTATCCAGTGCCTGGGCTGTCTGAGTCGAGGTGAAGCAGGGTATCCAGCGCCTCGACTGTCTGAGCTTGTCCTACGTCCTTACCTGTAGACACAAATTATGGAAAAATAACAAGGCATAGTATACAAACACAGCGATAATACAAGGCGTAGGAAATCAAACAGTTGTATATAAACTACGGTGAGAAAAGGACGAAATGGTACATGTATAAATCAATGACCGTCAGACAGAAAGCAACAAAGATCTACAACAATCGACCGTGTAACGTGTAATCCAATCCTTATATTCAAACAATCGTATACTACTTACCAATCATGGCGCTGGGAGACCTATTTCAGTGTCCTTAGTGAGAGAGGGTATCGTTCAGAAGTGATAAATGATCATTCACAGCTCCAAGGATATTTTTCGACCCTTTTACAAGTCGGCTGTGAACATCACTAAACGTCTGTAAATAAATGATAACTCCTAAAAACTATAGCATAATTATGTCATACAAGATTATGACTCATCATTTTCAAAATGAAAACTATATATGTATGTATAATATTGTAGAACGAATTGCGAATATCTTCTACATCAATAATACCACAAAAAGATATCAAGTATAAGAATTGAACGGTACGTTTCATTAATTTCATGGCTGCAATGAACACAAATCGGGTATTGCATATTCCGTTTTGACATTGAAGTTTCTGTGTCGCCAGTACAAACATCATCAAAATGTTTGCTTCTAACGTTTTTCTCATGCTATTCGAGGTGGGAAGAGAAACTTTAATATGACACTGATCAAATTGCGTTCATATCTCTATGAACGCAATTTCTTCTCTTTATGCTTATGGAGGAACTTGCAGTGAAAATGTGAATATAAGATAATGGAATCTTACCTATACTCACCGGTCACTCTCAAGAAAACTAGCTGACCAGTGAGGTGAGGTTATCTTACATAGGTTGGCTGATACTTGTATCACATAGGTTAAAATAATAGCCGCTTCTTTCCGACTTAGCAAGGAAGAATCTTTCTTAGCCTCATTCGGAAGAATGTAAAACTACTAAACTAGAGGTTCGGGGTTTGATCCCTTGCGGAGGCACTGGACTGATAATGATTTCTGTTACACTAGTACAAAGATAACGCATGCAATGTACGCTGTCTCGAATGACCGAACTACTACCTTTTCATATCTATACCCTAGATACGATAACTAAGTAAACATATACTGTGGGTGATTCAATTTACTTGGAAGAAAGTTTTACCTCGTTCAGCTTGTTAGCGACGGAGCTAAACTGTACGCACGCGTTGTCGATGTCTTTTCTCTTTCTCTTGTCACATCTCAATGTCTGTTTTACGCTGGATACAATGTTGGCAAGTTTTTTTATCGTGTATCACTGTAAGAAATGAAACATAATCTCGCTTTAACATATGTGTGTAATATAACTGCGAACATCACAAACCAATTTTGCGACTGTGGCAAACAAAACCCGTGTTTGACTACTGTGGACTAAACCCATGTTTGACTACTGTGGACTGAACCCATGTTTTGACAACTGTGGACTAAACACATTTTGTGACTACTGCCGATTAAACCCATTTTGTGACTAGTGGCGACTAAACCCATTTTGTGACTAGTACGGACAAACCCCATTTTGTGACTACTGCCGACTAAACCCATGTTTTGACTACTGTGGACTAAACCCATTTTGTGACTACTACTGACAAACCCCATTTTGTGACTACTGGCGAATAAACCCATTTTGTGACTACTGCCGACTAAACCATTTTGTGACTACTGTGGACTAAACCCATTTTGTGACTACTACGGACAAACCCCATTTTGTGACTACTGACGACTAAATCCATTTTGTGACTACTGCCGACTAAACCCATTTTGTGACTACTGTGGACATCAATCATTACTTTAAAGCTGTGGACAGCCATACCCTTTCCGTTGTATATCATTCTGGGTAAAGCTGGTGGTGTTGTTTACTCCTGTAATCGTTTGGTCATTACTTACGTTTTGAGTCTTGCATTTCGGCAAAGAACTGATTGACATCTCCCTTCAAATACGCGAGACTGGCGATCTCCTCGTGGTAGTGCTGAAGATCTGTGGCGTAGTCGTCGAACATTTGCTCCAAAGCCCTGGCGCCGTTGTGAAGCACGTCTTTGATTGTTACCTTTTGTCTGGGTAAAGATGTATTAGAAAAAGTTGTTAATTTGGAATTTCTCTAAACGTGGGTACTCCTTTCATAGAATTTTTTACTCGGAGAAAATATGTATCTGCATGATTGAGGATCGGGGAAAAGTTTAAATGAGAACCCCTGCGGACAGTTGGGTCTGTGATTGGTTAGAAAGGGACACAGCCATGTCTCATCTACTGTGCTGATTACAACTGTTGGACTTTTCATTTGCCTCGCTTTCTATGATTTTTTTACAACTTCAGTGCGTGTGGTGTTCCTAGTATACATCCCGAGCTGGATTTATGGTACATGATCTATTTTTGTGTTTTCTGAAATCAGTCACCTTGTTAGGATATCTATAGATTTAGCAAAAGCGCTGTGTACTTTTAATGTACATGTTACAGTAGATGAGGGTTCGAATAATGCACTGATACATACACAGGATAAAAATAGTCTATCTTATGTAAGCATGTTGGATAGGGGAGTTGTTAACCCAAATTCTACATAATGGTTGACTCTCTTTGTCCCGCTTCATTACCGGGAAATTGGTAAAAATTGCTGATGACATTACAAATGCAATCAAAACTTTCGCAGATTTTCTAAACAACGAACAAATTTGAAAAAAAACCGAATTGAAGGAACAGGAAATACAGTATGACTGTCAAATGTATGCAATAAGATTGGAAGAATTTTGAAACTAATTGCGCGGAGGATTTCAATGAGGACGTAACCCTTATAAATTAAACTGTGTGAAATTACATTGTAATTAGAATTTAACTTACGGAACATCTCGCTTCCCTATGAAGCGTATAGCTGCTCTTTCAGCGACTGTGGAACAAGGACATGTTATTGTATTGGATACATGTTTATATATTGTATAATAAAACTCTATGACTGAGATTGCTCTTGCAATTAAGAGTACCTGACGCCATAATCGATATAATGAATAGCATATCTAATTTGTTACTGACCAATCAAATGATGTTGCATATCATATATTTACATGATTAACAAGCAACTCAATATTGTAAGATGTTGATCTATGTTGAAATATATTTGTAATCTTCTTAAGTTTCGACTCGGCTTCAATTGAAAACAAATAAAGCAACCGACACAGTGATTAAATGTGAAGCGTAAACAATATTTACTTTATGTGTTTACCTCAAGTAATGCCTGTGACATGATGTCGATGGTTTGTTGTTTATAAAGAGATACAATGTAGATAGTAGGTCATTTAACGACGGCCTCCCCCGTTTGCAAGATGCATGCGTTAAGTGTACGCGTGTGTATTTTGGGAGGCTGCGATATGTTCGTGTTTGTCTCCTTGTGATAGCGCGGAACTGATGCCGAATTTAAAGTGCAACCTCACTGAAACATACTGCCACCCAGCAAGTCCCCACCCGGTCACATTATACTGACAACGGGCGAACCAGTCGTCCCACTCCTAAATTGCTGAGCGTTAAGCAGGAGTAGAAACTACAATTGTTACAGACTCTGTAATGTCGCGGTCAGAGAACAGAAACCAAAGCCTTCCTCGCAGGGGCGAACGCTCAACTAAAGGCCAAACGTGAGGCATTGTCAAAGGGAGACATTAGGAAGAAGTAAGTTGTTTGGAAAGAAGAGAAACGATAAGATTCCAAATTTAGTCGCCTCTTACGATCAGGCAATGATCTAGGCAATGAGTAGGTACAATTCTTACGCTCTATGCAGGGAATCACGTTAACTACTGATATGCAAACATGATAAAACTATCACATAATAGCATTTAGATAGAAATAAAAACAGAAATGTCCTTTACCTAAGCATTGTACATATATGTTATACAAAAAATGAAGATTCCCGCACATTTGGTAATAATAAATACATATATCAATCCCTGACCTTGATATAATAGTAACAGTGATTTTTAACCAATAACTATGATACGTCATTTTTTTGCAGGATTATGCTCTTTATGGTAAATAATTACGATTTTTATTGTGAACTTCACCTTTGACAACTAAGGGTCCCAAGTAGTTGGCCCATTCGTCGCCTAATAGAGGACTGAGGATGGCGGAAACTGTCGAAGCGAGTTCTTCCTCGATATTGGCCAGGCCATGGTGTAGAGAATCCCAGAAGCCGGCGGCATTGGCACCGACGAATAGGAAACAAAGCAGGAAAACTTTCATAATCTGAAAATAGTGGGTAACAAACTAAAGAATATGTCTATACATCTGATTTGTAGAAAAGATTAAGAGAAGACGTACCATGTTGATATAAACTATAATTAAGCCGATATATAACAAGATAACAGTGACCTACTTATCGATTATGTGCTATTTTTTCGGTTTACTTTTATTATCTGCAGTTTTAGTGCTACACAATAACAATGAAAACAGCTTTTAAAAAAATACATGTAGTTTTGTCAAAAAGATACCTTTTTCTATTCTGGTCCCTCACTCAACCCCCTCATATCTTTCAATGGTCTACAAGCTGACTTTCATTTCATGTACACAAAATAAAACTTATCGGTGATATCCATCCGAAGCCTAAAATTGGAAGCTATTCTTTAATGGTAAAGTACTATCCGAAACATTTTCTGACCATTTACCAATTGGTGTAGCGCACTGATTGTGATAACGTGACGTTATACGTACTGTGTGTACATGTACAGACAACTAGACTGTCAGCGGACGGGGTTTTGATCAACATATACATGACTCATAAGTATATTTAGAAAGTGTGTAATCGAAGAGATACACGTACTCAAATTAGTGAAGAAAAATATATTCATAGTAAATACTAACCTATATATGTCTATATATATGTAAATCAGGAAAACCCATATGATGTCAGCTTGAAATAATTTAAGAGCTGATCTCATTTCACAAATCAAAAATTTCCGGAACACGAGTGATCGATTTTATTTATTGAAAAAGAAAAATGTCTGCATAATCGATTTTTTTTTGGCAATGTACCAATTTATTTAAAGCACTAATTGTGATAGCGTAACGTTATACGTGCTGTCTAAGTTAAGAAAAACTAGACTCTCGGCAGTCTGTTTTTTAATCTGGCTGTCAGATGTCGAGGTTTTGATTAAATATCCATGACTCATAAGTATATTTAGAAGGTGTGTTATTGTACAATTCAAGGCAACACGAAACGCCACAGAGCATACATTTACCTAAAGTTACACGTAGTAACTTCACAGTATGACAGATTTACTTGTCGTGTTAACATTTGATTGAGATATTTTAATTTGGCGACTAGAGTGTTGGGCAAGTATGCCTAACT